AAATCTAGAATGGATTTAGATAAAATTTGGAAATCGTCGAAAATGGGTCGAAATTTGCATATTGTATATTATAGTAGAAATTTTCATTTTTGAAAAAGTCTAAAAATTTTTTAAAAATTCATGGTAATAAACCCCGACGTCCTGATTCCAAAAATATAACGTGTTTAAGGTCACAGACTAATATTTTCGAAATATTCGGCGTGAAACTCGATTTTTTTTTTGAAATTTTAAAAAATTCCAATATTTCAATGGGAGATTTTGAAAAAACTTCTCCGACACGAACTCTACAAGAAAATGTGTTTAGTTAAATTTCGAAAATCGTCGAAAGAGGGTCGATATTTGCATAAAGAAGGTATACACAGCGGAAAATTTGATTTCCCTTTCAGATTTTTGGGAAATTTGCTAATCCGAACGTAACTTTTCCCCAATTAATTCGGATTGTCGAGGTTATATTGTAATTATACTGCATTCAAATTTTGGTCTAAATTAGGTGTTAATTGACACTAATTACGTTTATTTTAGGTACATAGCTAAAGACTTTTTTCAAAAATTCTGGAACTTTCGAATTTATGTTTTTAAACATCTCACTAAAGAGTTTGTTTGATATAATATATTATACAACGAACCATGAAATTGTAGTAATTTAAATTTAATTACAATTAATTACTACATAATTAGCTGATAATTAGGGTTACTACACTTACGCATCAATTATGGTACTGTTGATTGTGGTCAGTTTGATTAATTATCGTTAATAACACTTAATTGTAATTAAACACTAATTAAAGAAACGTATCATCTTTATTTTTAAGAGTTTATTAAGCGCTCTCTTTAATTACATATAATTATTTCCAATACTAGTAATTTTATGGTAGTTTATTTAAAAGAAGAAATATTTTTCAAAATCACAAGTACCTAAATGGTGTAAATTTGAACTTACTGTTAATAATTAATTACAATTTAGTTCTTAATTAGTACCGTTAATTATGCGCAACTAGAAGTAAAACTAAATGAACCATTCATGTTATCACTAATTAGCTCAAAAAACTACTCCAAATTATAATTCAATAAACTATTATATACTGTAATGATAATTTAATTGAATTCCAATTAATTACTATGTAATAAATTAAGTTTTAGGCTTATTTAATTTAAATTGTACTATTCGTAACTGCGGTTAATTTCATTAATTATTGTTATTTGCCCTTAATTACAACTCATTACTAATTAAAGGAGTAGCTCATATTTATTATGAAGAGGTGCTTAAGCATCTCCGTAAATTATATATAATTAATTGGAACGCCAGTAGTTTATTGGTAAGTGTCTGCTGAAGAAAAAATAAGATACTAAATTAGACTTCCCAAATTAATTATCTTGCTAAACAGATTTTTTTCTCTTTGCAAATAATGTGCTCTGTTGTACAACTAGTATGAAATAATACAAATTTGAACTTAATTATAATTAATTATAGTTTACTTCCTAGTTAATTCCGTCAATTATGCGTAATTAGATTAAAAACTAATATATCCATTTAAATAAAAAGAAATTATAGCCAAATGAATAAACTAATTGTGATTAATTTCAATTGATTAATTAATGTTAATTCCTCTTAATTTCGAATCAGCTCTAATTAACGGAACAGCTCATGTTTATCATGAAAAGCTTAGCCATTTTGTTAAATTACATATAAATATTTCTAATGCTAGTAGCTTTTGGTAGTTTTTAGTTAAAAAAAAAATTTCGAAATGACAATTATATTGCTAAATAGAATTTTTTTCTTTGGAAATGATATATTGCACAACTAGCATGAATTTGTAAGAATTTGAACTTAATTACAGTCAATTACAATTTTGTCCTTAGGTAATTTTGTTAATTACGAGTAATTAGTTTTAAAAATTAAACGAATAAATGCTAACAGTAAGGGTTTTTAATTATCTGCTTAAAGAAAAAAAAAGGTATCTCAACTCAAAGCCACATCAATAAATTGTTACACTGTAATGATAACTTACATTTAATTCCAATTAATTACTAAGCAAGTAACTGATAATTAGTCTGATTATGTTTTCTTAGGGTTAATTGTGTTGTTCTTGATTCTGGTTAGTTAATTTGAGTTAATAATTTTAATTACACTTAATTAACAGCTGATCACTATCAGCATCAAATGATACGAATTTGAAATGAATTATAATTAAATACAATTTACTTCGTTACAATTGATGGTAAGTAAGTACGCTTAACTAGAATTAAAACTAATCATAACTAACACTTTTTTAATAAAGAATCTACAAGTGTTCAAAAGTAAAGAAAAGAAATAAAGTATTCGAAAATATATCCAAGTCATTAATTGTTATATTGTAATGATAACTTACATTTAATTCCAATTAATTATTACGTAAGTAACTGATAATTAGTCTGATTATGTTTTCTTAAGTTTGATTGTGTTGTTCTTGATTCTGGTTAACTTCATTCAATAATTTTAATTACACTTAATTAACAGCTGATTACTAACAGCATCAAATGATACGAATTTGAATTGAATTATAATTAAATACAATTTACTTCGTTACAATTGATGGTAAGTAAGTACGCTTAACTAGAATTAAAAACTAATCATAACTAACACTTTTTTAATAAATAATCTACAAGTGTTCAAACGTAAAGAAAAGAAATAAAGTATTCGAAAATATATCTAAGTCATTAATTGTTATACTGTAACAATTTAAATTACAATTACAATTAATGTAAAGAATAGAAGTTGAACATTTATGAATTTAGTGCTTTATTAAAACAAGGACATGTTTCGAGAAAATTCTGTTTTCATCTTCAGTTTATTAAATCAAATAAAATTAAGCTTCAACAGAAAAACCTGTTCTGTTATTGAAATTACAAGTGACAATGAACACTATTGCTTTTTTACATTAATTTTTAACCCCCACTTAAAGATATCCAATCCATTAACAATTTTGTTAATTATAATTAATTACTACTTAATTTACTGATAATTGGCATTGTTCACGTATCCAAGTTTAATTTTGTTAATTTTAATTGTGATTAATTTGATTTGATTAATTAATGTTAATTCCACTTAATTACGAATCAGCAATAATTAAAGGAATAGCTCGTGTTTATCGTGAAGAATTACTTAAATATTTTATTAAATTTTTTACAAACAATTCGAATTCTAGTAGTTTTTTGGTAGTTTATTGTTTAAGGAAAAAATAAGGTACCAAAAATTTTTCTAAATTACAATTAATTTTGCTAAACAGATATGTTTCTTTCGAAATAATGTGGTCTACACACAATCAGTATGAAATTATTCGAATTTGAACTTAATTATACTTAATTACAATTTATTTCTTTATAAAATTGCGATAAGTATATCCTTGTGACTAAGATTTTTTTAATAAATAATAATTTACGAGTGTCCAAAATTTTGCAATATATCTACTTAAAGAGAAGAAAATAAAGTATTGGAAATAGAGTAAAGCATTAATTATTATTACACTGTAACAATTTAAATTTAATTTCAATTAATTACTACGTAATTTACTGATAATTAGCTTATTGCTCGTACTTAAGTCTAAGTGTGTTATTCTTTTTTGTGGTTAATTTGACTTCATTAACGTTAATTGCATTTAATTACAATTCAGCACTAATTAAAGAAACATCTCGTATTTACCGTAATTAGCTGCTTAAGAATTTATTTAAATTAATTGATTTATATATAAATAATTTCAATGCTAATAGTTTTAATTATTGTTAATTAATTTATTGTTGATGAAAAAAGATCTCAAAACAAATTTTCGAATCACAATCATCTTGCTAAACAGATTTTTGCACAACCCAACCACTGCCAAATATAAATACGAATTTGAAGCTAATTATAATTAATTACAATTTAGTTATTTACATAATTGCCGACAAGTACGCTTAAATATAATTAAGTATCCAAAATTTTTCTATTTATCCACTTAGAGAAATTATAAATTATGTGCGAGTCACTAAATTGCTCCATTGTGGCACTAATTTAAAATTTATTTCAGCTAATGGCAAATAATTAGCGATTAATCACCCTTAACTTAACTTTAGTTACAATTTTTCAACAAATCACTAGTTGTTAATTGTGGTTAATGTAGTTAATAAAGTTCAGTTATAATTAGTAATTAAAGAAAAAACCATTGTTTACCTGTGTGAATTTTTAATTTTTTAAAAATTGCCAATGTATTTGTTCAAATAAATAATTAAATAAGTAAACAAAACGACTAATTTTTTGCTAATCATATTCTTCTTACTAAGTAGATTTTTTACAAATTAATGGCCAAATAATTAGCTGTTAGCTGGCATTAATTAAGCTTCTATAAGATTAGTTGATATTAATTCCATCTAAGATAACTAAATTGTAATAATTTAATTGTGAATTATGATTAATTTGATTAACAAGAATCTGTTTCACCTACTTGTAATTATTGTAATCTATAAATATTTCTAATGTAACTTTTGATCAAGGCTCCACTTTGAGTAGGACCAAAGAACCTATAAATTTCCAATTTAATTAGTTTATTTATTTGTTTTTTATTTTATTATAGAAGTAGGAAGGAAGAGGAATATGTTTAAGCCGAGATACTCCGTCAGCATCTTGTTTTACCTTATGAATAACTGTCTAATTAACAAACTTTAATTACTTCATGTTTCATGCCTTAATTAATAACTTAATTGACTTGATGGGTTAATTATCACATGATAAATAGATTAATTTTTGTGATGTATTTTAATTAATTACTAAATAAATTAGTTTCAACCTGTCACTTTAATCTACGAAATGAGAAACGTAAACGACAGTTTAATAACAATCAATGTTTTTCGGGTTCCAACCGTGTCATTTTCGTTGTCGACAAATTCCTGAAGATGTCCTTTAGGGAAATAGACGAAAAGTCGAAACTCTTTCCAAAAGATTGGTAAAATTTTATTTGAAAAACAGATTAACGTCAACAAACCTTTTCCTTAACACTATCACACAACAAAACCTACTCTACATCATCAGCTGATATTTCTGGTACTTCCTCCTTTTCCCTCTTCGTCAACAACCCACTCAACTCATCCAAATACGGCACATTCCTCAAATCCCCCACCGCCACCATGCTCACCGCTCCCTCCTTCGCCTTCTTCAAAATCTTATTCGCATCATCCACACTAACCGCCTCCGCCACCTCCAAAATATCCTCCAACTTCCCACCCAAATTCCCAAACACCGTCTTCCTAATGAAATCAAAAACAAAATTCGAACTCTCGAAACTCGAAGCTAAATCAAGCATCTTTTCGTTCTTCATCTTCGCGAAATTCTTTTCGTCGATGGTGTCAGCGGCAATAGCAGCGACCGCTGCTTCCGCAATTTGTCCAGCAGCTTCAGCCGGAGCGGAAACCACAACACCGATTATCCCTTGGTCACTGTAGTACTCGCTGAAGGGAAAAAGCTGGAAGGGAGCCCCAATACCGGCTGTGGCTTTCCCCAGGAGGCTGCTTCTGGAGACGCCTCGGAAGACGCGGCTGCTTCCGAAGAGGACGTTTTTGACGATGCAGGCGGCGATATTAGTTTTCGGGTCGGCAGACGAAGGACCTGGGATGGCAATTCCAACCAAAGCTCGATTGCCTCTTTCGTCGATACGGATTTCTCCTCCTTTGAAGGGAGACGGGGGTGGGGCGCCTCCTGCGCCCTTGGGGATTTGGAGGGTCGAAGCGTACTTGACCAACGCGTCGTGTTCGACCCCCAAAGCTACCACGGCGGCTCTTCCAGAGGTGAAATATTTGGAAGTGTAAGCCTCCATGTCGTCTACGGAAATTTTCCCCACGTTGTGGCAAGGTATATACAAAGAATTGCCCAACCCTCCTTTACGAAAGGCCGCTTTGTGCAACCACTCTATCACTCTTTCTCTTGGTGGTAAGGTAGCGAGGTGTGCGTCAAGACAGTGGGCGTTGTCCCTCACTTCGTAGTCTCTAAAAGCTTGCATAGTAGCCACTTCCGTCAAAAACGGTAACGTCTTCTCAATTGCTTTTCTAGTTCCTTGGAGGGTGTAAGCCACGATTTCTCTCGTCGTGGTGCAGCTCAAATTTGCACCACTTTGCATGACGTTGCTTCGAATAGCAAATTGAGTCGCGTTTCTGGTGGAGAGAAGAGTGCAGTTGCTGAGGGTGTGGGTGAGGCCGTAGATGTCTGGGGTTTCGTAGCGAGCACCAGCTCTATGGAGACGATTTAGTAAGTTGTTAACAAGGAGGAGCTACTTACTTGTAAACTATCGATATTCTGGATATTATTGATCCGTTTTCGCCTGAGGCTACGATGAGGTTGTTGGGTAAGGTGGTGGTTTCGATCTCGTAGTCGGTGGTTCCTCCGAGGGGGACTGCGGTGCAGTCTGTGGAGAAGAAACGGAATCTTGGAGGTCGAAGAAGACGCATTTTTGGTTTAAGAGATTGCATTTTTGGTTGACGCGTTTGAACTGTCAGGTTTTGACGTTTGAGGGTTTGTGGTGGCTTGATTTTTGGAACAATCTGGATGGCGTTGAAATTAACGTTTCCCTCAACCAAAAAAAAGTAAAAGAAATAAGAAAAATCTCACAAGACGAAAGGAGCAGAGGAAAAGCGGTACAAGTTGACAGGTAGGTACTGTATTCTCAAATTTTCGAGAACTTGAAGTGCACTTTTTTTATTTCATCAGTAAAATAAATTGCTTCACTATTTTTTTCTTGAGTCGCCCTGTATAACTAATTCTAAATTAAAACTACTGTCTTCAAAATTTAGAAACTTTTTATAAGAATTCAAATTATGGTGTTACACATCGATAGAATATGGAGTTCAAAATTTGTATGATTATAAACTCTCGGGCTTGATCTTTATAAAATACAATACGTTCAATATTTATGAAGCATGACGCCAGAATTTATAAAGAATAGCATTCAAAATTTATAAAGTACGACGGCTGTCGTTCAGAATGTACAGTCGCGGCCATAGAAAAGTGGACCACATACACAAAATTGTACTTGTGTAACTTTTATTAAAATATCATAATATCAGTTCAAATAAACGCCCCAGACTTGAAAAAAAGGACAATGCCTTTGTGATTATTATTACATATTTGTCAAATAAAACATTAATTGAACCCTAAATTTTTCAAAAATTTTGAAGTGTGTGCTGCAGTTTTCTGTGGCCGCGGTTGTACAAACTACGGGGTTTGTTTTTTATTTCCCGTTTCCGTCTGTCTGTCTGTCTGTCTGTCTGGTGTCTGTATCCATTTTGATTAGACACGTAATCTTCGAAACTGCTGAACCGACTATTGTCAAATTTTGTAAGTCTATTATTTTATGACTGATTTTGATACTTTTGACATTTTTGACAATTATTTTTCAACCATTTTCGAAAATTAGCTAGATATTTGCTTCCAAAGAAATAGAGGGCGGGTGGGCGGGGCCAGTACTTGATAAGATAAGACTGTATTTGCCAAATGACATATCTTCCAAGAAAATTGAGGGGTGGTGGGCGGGGCTAGCATTATAAGATATGACTGACTTTGACAATTTTTATATTTTTCACCATTTTTCAACCATTTTCTAAAAGTAGGTAGCTACACATTTTCCCCAAACACCCACCCACCCTACCTTCATTTCAGTCATTAATTTTATCCGTTCTGAATGAAATGAATGAGCTTATACTAAGCAGAAATAAAATTAGTCGTTAGAATGGAAAGACTGGGGGTGGGCGGGGCTAGTACTTGCTAAGACAAAGCTGATTTTGCCAAATGTCATGCCCTTCCAGGAAATAGAGGGCGGGTGGGCGGGGCTAGCATTTCATAAAATATGACTAAGTTTGACACTTTTGACATTTTTGACCATTTTTCAACCATTTTCGAAAATTAGCCTAATATCTTCTTGTAGCTTTCGCCATCCCGAAGTCAATTTCGCTTTAGTTTCTTCTAAATGTTCTGCCGTTCGTCCAAAATCGCCAATTGAAATGTATACATTTTTACAATTCCAGTGGGCTTTTTTTTTACTTTTTTCGCATCATAGATTATTTTAGTTTCCACTCCCACTCCATAGGAGAACATAATAAGCCCCGCCCACCCGCCCGGCCTTCATTTCAGTGAATAATTTTATCTGAGCTGAATGAAATGAATGATCAGAAATAAAATTATTCTTTAGAATGAGAAAACTGGGGGTGGGCGCGGCTAGTACATGATAAGTTAAAGCGATTTTGGCAAATGACATACACCACAAGGAAATAGAGGGCGGGTGGGCGGGGCTAGTACGTGATAAGATCAGACTGTTTTTGGCAAATGACATATCTTCCAAGCAAACGGAGGGCGGGTGGGCGGGGCTTACATTTTGTAAGATATGACTGATTTTGACACTTCAGGCTTCGTTTCTTCGAAAATTTCTATCGGTTTTCCAATATCGCCAGTTAAAATATAGCAATTTTCACAGTTCCAGTAACAAATGGTATAACAAAAGATTTACGGTTAGGGTTTTTTTTTTACTTTTTCATATCCTAGATTCTATTAGTTTCCACTCCCACTCCACAGTAGCACATAATTAGCCCCGCCCACCCACCCGACCTTTATTTCAGTGATTAATTTTATCCGGTCTGAATGAAATGAATGATCTTATACTGAGCAGAAATAAAATTACTCTTTAGAATGAGAAAACTGGGGTTGGGCGGGGCTAGTACTTGATAAGTTAAGCGATTTTGGCAAATAACATACCTTCCAAGGAAATAGAGGGCGGGTGGGCGGGGCTAGTACTTGATAAGATAATACTGTTTTTGGCAAATGACATCTTCTAAGAAAACAGAGGGCGGGTGGGCGGGCTAGTATTTTATGAGATATGACTGATTTTAACACTTTTGACCGTTTCTCGAAAATTAGACATTTTCTTGTAGATTTCGACATCTAGAGGTCATTTTTGGCTTCGTTTCTTCGAAAATTTCTATCGTTTTCCCAAAATCGCCAGATAAAATATAGCAATTTTTATTGTTTCAGTAGCAAATGGTATATTACAAAATTTACGGTTAGGTTACTTTTTTCGCATCATAGATTCTATTAGTTTCCACTCCCACTCCATAGGAGAACATAATAAGCCCCGCCCGCCCACCCGGCCTTCATTTCAATGAATAATTTTATCCGGTCTGAATGAAATGAATGATTTTATACTGAACAGAAATAAAATTAGTCTTTAGAATGGAAAGACTGGGGTTGGGCGGGGCTAGGACTTGATAAGTTAAAGCGATTTTGGCAAATGACATACCTTCCAAGGAAATAGAGGGCGGGTGGGCGGGGCTAGTAAGATAATACTGCTTTTGGTAAACGACATATCTTCCACGACAACGGAGGGCGGGTGGGCGGGGCTTGCATTTTATAATATATGACTGATTTTGACACTTCAGGCTTCGTTTCTTTGAAAATTTCCATCGTTTTTCCAATATCGCCAGTTAAAATATACCAATTTTCACAATTCCAGTAGCAAATGGTATAACAAAAGATTTACGGTTAACGTTTTTTTTTTTTACTTTTTCATGTCCTAGATTCTATGAGTTTCCACTCCTACTCCACAGTAGAACATAATTAGCCCCGCCCATCCACCCGACCTTCATTTCAGTGATTAATTTTATCCATTCTGAATGAAATGAATGATCTTATACTGAACAGAAATAAAATTAGTCTTTAGAATGAGAAAACTGGGGGTGGGCGGTGCTAGTACTTGATAAGTTAAAGCGATTTTGGCAAATGACTTACCTTCCAAGGAAATAGAGGGCGGGTGGGCGGGGCTAGCATTTTATGAGATATGACTGATTTTGACACTTTTGACATTTTTGACCGTTTCTCTAAAACTAGACATTTTCTTGTAGATTTCGACATCTAGAAGTCATTTTAGGTTTCGTTTCTTCGAAAATTTCTATCGTTTTCCCAAAATCGCCAGTTAAAATATAGCAATTTTTATAGTTTCAGTAGCAAATCGTATAACAAAAAATACGGTTCGCGCTTTTTTTTTTAATTTTTTCACATCCTCGATTCTATTAGTTTCCACTTCCACTCCATAGGAGAACATAATTAGCCCCGCCCGCCCACCCTGCCTTCATTTCAGTGATTAATTTTATCCGGCCTGAATGAAATGAATGATCTTATACTGAGCAGAAATAGAATTAGTCTTTAGAACGAGAATTGGGCGGGTGGGCGGGGCTAGTACCTGCTAAGGTAAGACAGATTTTGGCAGATGCTATACCTTCCAAGAAAATATAGGGTGGGTGGGCGGGGCTAATACTTACGAAAATAAGACTGAATTTGGCAAATGACATATCTTCCATATAAATAAACACTTGAGCTTCAGTTTGCTATTATTGATTCAAAAAAAATAATGAAAGCGTAAATTTATTTTACTGATTTACTCAGGAACTACAAAACCGAATGCTTTAAAATGTTGAAGATGTTTGCCGAATAAATCCTATCTAAACTGTACAAAATATGATGCGTAAATTAATTTTTTTGATTTAATCATGAACTGCAAAACCGAATGCTTTGAAATCTTGCAAATGTTTTAAGGTTATAAAGAGCATAATAAATGTTTAGTCAAAATACATTTGCTTATCCCCTCCAAAAAATTGATGACGTCAGCTCGAAAGTTTGACGAATAAATCCTATCTAAACTGTAAAAAATATGATGAGTCTGTACTTGTGATTTATCACTCCATTGATTTTTTTTTGGATTTGCATATACAGGGTGACTCAAAAAAATTAATTAATGCGTAAATTTATTTTATTGATTTACTCAGGAACTACAAAACCGAATTCTTTGAAATCCACTGCGAAAAAAAAACATAATAGGCATGCAGTCGTTACGTTTCCGACAGCGAGGGAAGTACTGTCTAAACTCTTTAGACCAATTTTTTTCATAAGAGTCTCTTGGTTTCTTTCCAAATTTTTTCCAGGTATTAAATTTGTTGCCTTTTTATTTCGACAAAAAGTTTTCGTATTATTTTCTTGTGTTGTCCGTAACCAGCTTTACTTCTTGTGATCCAGTATTTCTTCCGATTTCTTTTCTTTTCCTCCACAAACTATGTTTTTAAGGTCTTGGGTCCACCATACAGTTCTTTTAGGCTTGTCAGACAGTTAGTAGAAATCGACGCATAAATAATAATTAAAAAAGGAAAAATCCCAGAAATCATCTATAATAATAGGTAATTCAACCTTATAAGAACCAGCGCCAAGTGTATTAGGTATGATTAGGAGGAATTTACGCAAAATATTATTGGATTTCATAACGTGTTCCAAATTCTATCCGCCAATATCCCAGTTACGACAAAAATAAGCGCAAAAAACCTTGCATAAAATTTAACACTCGTTTTTATGGCGTGAATTCGGCGTTACAGCACTTTTTCGAAAAGCTCGCACTTTCCCTTCCGCCCAACGAGCCGCATCGCCGTAAATAATCGCCTTTTGAAAAATCCAAGCCTTTCAACGCG